CTGATCACGCAGTGTCATAGATATCCAATATGTTAGACTGCAAAACAATCGGTTTTTTCTCAAAATCAGTAAAGAAGTCGGTAAAGCGTGGAGTAAGAGTAATACGCGCGAGCCTCACACTCCGTTTTCAGCCTCGTTTCAGACCTTTTGTGTTACTGCTCACGCGTATTTGAATACGCCAAAATCTGCTGACGGACAGTTTTGAAGTCTACATAAACATGTATGTGTACCGAAAAAATGCATATTAAGGTAAGATGTATCAAGTATAGCGAGACTAATAATAAAATTAATACAGGATATCCTATCTAGAAACGTTCGGTGAAACAGTTGGTTATAAAACCTTGGGATGGATTTTGTGGACCTTTGGAGGTGCGGACGCATCCGCTGCCTCCACCTGATTCGGATTGCGTCATGTAAGACGTAAAGTTGCACTTCATAAACCTACAGTGGTTTCGAGTTTTGGGTGCTTCGTTTTCGAGATTTAGGGGTCTTCGTTTTCGAGTTTTGAGTGCTTCGTTTTCGAGTTTTGGGTGATTCGTTTTCGAGATTTTGGGGTCTTCGTTTTCGAGATAGGGTGCTTCGTTTTCGAGATAGGGTGCTTCGTTTTCGATCTAGGGGTCTTCGTTTTCGAGTTTTGGGTGCTTCGTTTTCGAGATTTGGGTGCTTCGTTTTCGAGTTTTGGGTGCTTCGTGCTTCGGTCTTCGTTTTCGAGTGCTTCGTTTTCGAAACTACCGGCACCTGACATCGATACTTAGTGAATGTTTCTGGGCTCCGTTATTCCAAACAAATCGAATTTCGACTCGCGTGACTTAAGGAATGGTTCTCGAGCGAGTATGAGACCCCCAGCATTGTGTCAAGCCATTACCTAATGCCAAACTTTATTAACGTTTTGTTCTCGCATTTCAGTAAACAGTGAACTCGATCCGTACCGAAGTTAGCCTGCGTAGCATGGCGGTTTTGTCCAGCTGGGCGCAGGAGCGGCGTAGCCGCGAAATTCGCGCGCTTCAGAACGAGCGGCGAAGCCGCGAGAAAAATAAAAACCACCTGCCCGGATTCGTGGCCTTTTCAACTGCCGCCCCCTTCAACTCATTTTGACATCCTGTTGACAACTTGTTTGGTTTCAGTTTTCCCAGCCAATCAGAAATAAAGTGTTGACAGCCTAAACACGACACAAAAGCTCGTGATATAGTGTAAAACGTGACCTTGGCCGGAATTGGAGTTTGCTTGAACAAACACAGGTTTTTTCTTTGTGGCTATCTCGCGCATAGGTGACTACACTGCGTTCTAAACTTGACTGAGTAGATCTTATTTTTGCTGCACTAAGTCTTACATTTATTTAGAGGTCATGAAGTTGGTATGTTTAATCTGTATTGAGTAATTATTTCCTGTGGTTAATGTTATTTTCGCTAATTAGAATTTGTTGATCTCAGATGCAGTTGTAAAGTACTAATTTCTTTGACCACTCTTAAAGCCTAAAGCTTTTTATTACGGCTAAATAAATATTTTAGTTTCTTTGGTCTTTTCCGACTAAAATGCCTGGATCTGGACAACTACAAACCAAGGAGCCTTGGTTTGTAGTTTCTTTGTCACTGCTTTGTCCGTGAATGTTTTGACGCTGGACCCGGCTTTTTAAGTGTTGTTTGCAGGATGT